GCCTGGGACAGCAGCAGCAGATGGCCCACGTGCTTGGGTCCCTGCCATCCACATGGGGGACCCGGATGGCAGAGTTCCAGACTCCGGGGTTTGGCCTGGCCCTGCCCCAGCCATGGTGGTCATTCAGGGAACGAACCACATATGGAAGATCTCCTTTCCCTCGCTTTCTTTATAACCCTGCCTTTCAAATAAATCTTTTGTTTTGTTTTGTTTTAATGTGACAGGTAGAGTTATAGACAGTGAGAGAGAGACAGAGAGAAAGGTCTTCCTTCCATTGGTTCACTCCCCAAATGGCCACTATAGCCGGAGCTACACCGATCCGAAGCCAGAAACCAGGTGCTTCCTCCCGGTCTCCCATGTGGGTGCAGGGGCCCAATCACCTGAGTCATCCTCCACTGCCCGCCCAGGCCACAGCAGAGAGCTGTGGAAGAGGGGCAGCCAGGACTGGAACCCGGCACCCATATGGGATGCTGGCGCCGCATAGGAGGATTAACCAAGTGAGCCATGGCACTGGCCCCATAAATTAATCTTTGAAAAATAAACTAAGTCCTGCTTTTTTCATCTTCCTAAACGCCTCATCCAGAAATACATATCCATGCACTTCCACATCAGAAAAATGCTTTAAAATTAAAAAAGCGTCTAAGACATGCTATTATAGAAAACAAATTTCAGTAATACTGTCTTCCTAATATAGGTTCTGATTTATTTCAATATAGTTAATAAAGAAAATAGAATTTCAAACCTTCAAATTGTCTGAGTTAGAATTCTAGTTCTGCTATTTTCTGGCTGCTGTTTAAACTCCTTAAGCGCCAGTTTCCTCAGCTGCAGAATCAGAATACCACCTGCCCTAGATGTTGTTCTGTAATCAAATGAGCTAACACACGGGCTATTCTTAGAAGAGCACCTTCGAAAGTGGGTTATTTCAACAATCACTCAGAAAACACAAAGCTACAATTGCAATGAAAAAGTTAATACTAGTGAATCTATTTTCTGGCTCAGTGGGAAATGAAAATGACAGATTTTCTGAAAATCATAGAGGATTCTGACTAAGCAGTATCGGTTTTCAAGCTACTGTTGGTACCACTGCAAGGCATTCCATTATATACTGCCGTGTTTCTAGAAGTCTCATCAGTCTCATCAGCAGTCTGCAAACATAACCTTCTCTAGTCTCCACACGAATCCATTACAGCCAAAGATACTCTGTGCTCTCTGTGTCACTAACAACACTTCCTGCATGTCTGCAGAAGTGCAGGGGAGGAAAAGAGGCAGCCCATGTCTCATGCTCTGTCCACTGACAGGAAAAGAGCTGGGTTTGTCGCCTCCCAAATGGTAAGCACTGTTTACTTGAGCAATGAGCTGTGTCTGCAAACCACCATGAAGGGCTGGCCGCAAACTTTATCCTCTGAACCAGGGCATTTCTCACAATGAAAAACAGTAATTATGCTAGGAAAAAAGGTGTAAGAGAGGATTATTCCAGTCAAACTGGATGTATAGCCACCATTTACATGGGTGTTCTCTAAAACATGGGCATACATTACTATATTTTGCCTCATCACAAACTTTATTTTAGCCTTAAAATTTTATACATTAGCAATCTAATGTGAACAAAGCCAGGAGCTTCTTCTGGGTCTCCCATGTGGGTGCAGGGGCCCATGGACTTGGGCCATCTGCTAATGCCTTTCCAAGGCATAGCAGAGAGCTGGATAGAAAGTGGAGCAGCCAGGACTCAAACCGGTGCCCACAGCGGATGCTGGCACTGCAGGCAGTGGTTTTACCAGCTACACCACAGCACCGGCCCCTCTTTCAGTACTTCTTAAAAAACAAAAAGGAGAAACACAATGTTTCCCTAGGAAAGATGGAATACTTTTAAAAGAAATACCTGATAAAGACCGCTGAGTCACAGCTGTCTTTTGTCATCTGCCTGCTGTTCTTCAGGTGAATTAAGTGAGAACAAACTAGGAACACAGTGCAACACATGTGGTTCTGTGGTAAGCTGCAAGCAGGGCCTGCACTGAGCTGACAGGTCTATGTTTAGGCGGTCCCAGTGCTGTTTAGAGTCAGCACTCGTTCTGACGGCGTATACCACTGTCCATCTCAAAGTCATCTCTGCTATGAACACATAAATACATTAACTCAACTAACTTATCTAGGGAATGCCAAATATACACAAGACATCGTGACTTGCATTTTAGGGAAACACAGATGAAAACACACGGCCTATACTCTCCCCAACAGTTTACATTTTAGTAAAAATAAGGAGCAATTCAGATAGCTTCTAGCTATAAATATTTCTTTTAAATATAAATTGATATCCCTCAGCAAATAACCAGTTAGGTATTTCTTCAGCCAGGATTAGAATTCATTTGAATCTGTATTCCTTAAATGCTGACAGGACAACATGGAAAGGTGATCTAAGAATAAACATCAAGGGAAATCTGGATAGGTTTTTAAAATATGGAAAGTATATAGCTGAGAACGAACATGAAACTGACAGAAACAGAAAAATAATCAGCTAATCACATCAGTAACCTAAACATTATTCCAAGATGTGTTACCCTTATAAACAGGTTATATTGCAACAGAATGGAGTAATTTTACCATTTTGAATAAAGCAAGCTTCCAGAGAATGCCACTGCAGCAGCAGCCTACAGAGCTTCTGGATACACTCACACTAGCAAAATATTTTTTTTCATCACTAACTTATACTACCTCTACCCTACTTACTTTAATACACAGCTAGTATCAAACATGCAAACTCTGTCGTTTGGAGACAGATCGCAGCAGGCAGTAAACGAGAGAAGTTTAATTTGTCATTTGGAGCACCATGGCATGGACCCGGAGGAGACTATGCGAAGTACCTAAAGGCAAATTATTACTGTGTGACCTCACTTACATGTAAAATCTAAAAAGGTTGAACTCACATGCAAGAGGCAGAATGGAGGTTAACAGACACTGAGGTGGGGGTGGGCTAAGGAATGGAGTTGTTCAAAGAGAACAAAGCTTCAGGTAGAATTTTAAGAGATCATTGCTCAGAATGATGTCTACAGTTAATAACAATTATATATCACACAATAGATAACAGATGTTTTTACCACCAAAATAAACATTCTAGGTGAGACATGCTAATTAGCTAATTTAATCACTCCTCGTTGTGAGTATATATCCAAGCATTGTACCCCATAAATTGTCAATATATGCAATTATTTGCCCATTTAATTTTTTTTAAAAAAAATCTTAAATGAAAATTCTTTTTTTTTTTGGACAGGCAGAGTGGACAGTGAGAGAGAGAGACAGAGAGAAAGGTCTTCCTTTGCCGTTGGTTCACCCTCCAATGGCCGCCGCAGCTGGCGCACCGCGGCTGGCGCACCGCGCTGATCCGATGGCAGGAGCCAGGTGCTTCTCCTGGTCTCCCATGGGGTGCAGGGCCCAAGCACCTGGGCCATCCTCCACTGCCTTCCCAGGCCACAGCAGAGAGCTGGCCTGGAAGAGGGGCAACCGGGACAGAATCCGGCGCCCCAACCGGGACTAGAACCCAGTGTGCCGGTGCCGCAAGGCAGAGGATTAGCCTAGTGAGCCGCGGCACTGGCACTTAAATGAAAATTCTTTCAATTCACCTTTAGAGCCTAGTAAAGGTTAAATAAAATTATACAGCAATTCAGTATGAGGAGGCTTATCAAACATTCATCATTTTTTACTGATTAGCTAAACACATTCAAAGACAGATTCTTTCTACATTTTATAGAACTCTCTTTTAGTGAACAAAGCGCTCATTTAAAACACCCTAGCCTGACAGGAATCACATAACTCCCTTTTGGGTTTTTTTAATCTCAGCATATTAGAAGACCCAAGAATCTTGGGTAAACCCCAGTCTATGCAGGGTTTGTACCCAGTGTAGTTGTTGGAACACAAGATTCACTGGGCGTTAGAGATGGAGTCTTCTGGAAGAAGCACCTCTTCCAGTCTCCCTTCCTCTTTCTGAAATCAGATCATCCCAGGGCCCAGGCGTCTTCCCCAGTATTCTCCCTATCTTTCTGCAGACCGGCGGGGACGGCAGAAGAGACTCAAGCTGAGGGTGAGAGGCAGAGGCGGAGGCGGGCACCCCAGGAAAGGACTACTGAGACCCAGTACCCGGCCCCATCCTCTAACCCCAGCTGGCCCCTGAAACCAGACACTCGCCTACAAAGGAAAAGGGAGGCAACCACAGGCCTGCAGGTACCTACTGCTGCTGGTAGAAAGCAACTCCCCCCCCACACTCCTCTTGTCCTGAGTCACACCAGAGCTGTCATCTTTGACTGCCCACACTCTCACAAGAAGGAACTATCATCTCCATCAATCTTGTCAGTTTCATAAAAGGTAATCAAGGAAGATAAGAGGAATAAAGAAAGAAAGGCCACTGGAAAAGACTAAAAGCATAAATAAAAATGGAATCTGGGGATTTTTTTCTCTTTTACCACTGACTTGATTTTTAATAAATAATCAAATGCTATTAAAATATATACTAAAAAATGTACGTTACTTTTCTATCTCGTTTCAAAGAAGTGAATACCAGGTACCTGGCACCCAATAGCAGTCTCCTAAAAGGAAAACAATATATACAGAAGACAATCAATCTGAAATCCTTATTTCAGTATTCGCATAGGATTCTGCTTTTTAACCTACGCAATTCTAAACGTAGCACTAAGTCGCCACGTGGTGCCACGGAGGACACGTCCTGCAGCAGCTTCAGTCTGGGGATCACTGCCACGCGTTTCTGGGTCACAGTTTTACTATCTGTGCCTTCCCTGTTCAGACGCTGTCGCTCTACTGGGCGGAAACAGCAAGACGTACATGTTTCAGTGCGAATCTATTACAGACAACTGAATAAAGCCCCACCTGCCACTTTTAAGGCAATGCAGTTAACCAAGATATTGTTTCTAAGTATATACTTTAATTACTAATTCAAAATACAAGAAACACATGTTATTTTTCTCTCAAAATCAAGTGTTTTATGTACTATTTACCTGGGGGTGGAATCAGAGGTGGAGCAGTGCTGACAGTGGGAGGAGGTGGAAGAAACGGAGGCGGTGGAAGGTGGGTAGGAGGACCCCCTGGAGGGAAAAACGGAGGTGGTTTGCTAAAATTGTTGTCCACTTCAGCAGCCGATCTTTCAGAAAGGACCTAGAAGTAGAGCACAATTAAAAGGACAAATTAATATTATCAATGAATAAATATTCTTAACTAAGATAAATCTTAGCAAGTTAATTATACTTAATCTGAAAAAAAAGCAAAAGGCAGTTTAATTCACAGGTACATGCATTTAGTGCTGAGGGGCACAGCAGTTAGAGTGTATGTAGTATGTGCACTTATATACATATGTAAGTATCCATTCCCTCACACACACTTTCTTTTTTAAAAGATTTTATTTATTTATCTGAAAGTTAGAGTTACACAGAGAGAGGAGAGGCAGAAAGAGGTCTTCCATCTAATGTTTCACTCCCCAATTGGCCACAACAGCCGGAGCTACGCCGATCAGAAGCCAGGAGCCAGGAGCTTCTTGCCACACAGGTGCAGGGCCCAAGGGCTTGGGCCATCTTCCACTGCTTTCCCAGGCCATAGCAGAGAGCTGGATCGGAAGTGGAGCAGCCGGGACTCGAACCAGCGCCCATATAGGATGCCAGAACTTTAGGCCAGGGTGTTAACCTGTTGTGCCACACTGCCATCCCCCTCACACTCTTTTAAAACTGTCTGTGACCGGCGCTGTGGCACAGTGGGTTAACGTCCTGGCCTGAAGTGCCAGCATCCTATACGGGTGCCCGTTCACATTCAAAGCCTAGGAAAAACTAGATCATTACCCAAAATACTCGTATGGAATAACTATGTAATAAAAAATTCTAAAAAAGATACAAGCTCTTTGTATAAATAATGTAGCCAGTTATATTCTTTGTTACTCAACCAAAGTTAAAGTATTTGGGTAAAGGCAATGGAATCACCATCGCAGCTTTTACCCTAAGAAAGAACAAGGCATGGGGCTGGCGTCATGGCACAGTAGGTTAAGTCACTATCCACAATGCCAAAATCCCATTTGGGCACTGGTCTAACTTACAGCTACTGCTCCACTTCCAATTAAGCTCCCTGCTAAAGTGCTAGAGAAAGCAGCAGAAGATGACCCAAGGGTTGAGCCCCTGCCACCCACACAGAAGACCCAGATGGAGTGCCAGGCTCCTGGTTCAGCCTGGTCCAGCCCCAGCCATTAGAATCATCTGGGGAGTAAACAAGCAGAGGGAATATATCTAAACCGCTGTCAAATAATTAATAAAAAAAAATAAAGAGAGAGAGAGAGAGAGAGAGAAAAGAAGGATTTAGAAAAATGAGAGAGAAGAAGAATTAAGATGGCAACAGGTGAGATACCACAGTAGTACTAGATTGCAAAGTAAGAGAATGCATTAACAAGGCGCACAGTAGGGGCGGCAAGAAAAACAGCTGTTTCATGTGAGCCTTGTCACTTTAAGACCAAGGGCTTCTACTAGAAAAATAAAATAAAGCAGCACTTCAAAATGCTGATCTGTTGTACAGATGAAAAAGGCAGGCACCTCAGAAGTACCCCAAAGTCCATAGACACAGAACAGCAAGCAAAGTGGTACCCAAAAAGCAGGACTTTTGACAAATTCCCTGAGGGAATTTGGGGATTTTTATTCTACTATCACTAATCTGGTTTTTTTTTTTGTTTTTTTTATTTTTTTTTTTTTTTTGACAGGCAGAGTGGACAGTGAGAGAGAGAGACAGAGAGAAAGGTCTTCCTTTGCCGTTGGTTCACCCTCCAATGGCCGCCGCGGCCGGCGCGCTGCGGCCGGCGCACCGCGCTGATCCGATGGCAGGAGCCAGGAGCCAGGTGCTTTTCCTGGTCTCCCATGGGGTGCAGGGCCCAAGCACCTGGGCCATCCTCCACTGCACTCCCTGGCCACAGCAGAGGGCTGGCCTGGAAGAGGGGCAACCGGGACAGAATCCGGCGCCCCGACCGGGACTAGAACCCGGTGTGCCGGCGCCGCTAGGCGGAGGATTAGCCTAGTGAGCCGCGGCGCCGGCCACTAATCTGGTTTTTAATAAATAATCAAATGCTGTTCAAAATATATTTAAAAATGCATGTTACTTTTCTATTTTACTTCAAAGAAGTGAACAGGCAACATCCTATATATATAACTTAGACTTCTCAAATATTTACTGACTTAACTTACCCTATGTACTTGCATAAAATTCAATAATTTGTGAAAAGTTTGTTAATAACCTGGTTCTTAAGAGTAAAGAACAGAATTATTTTAAGAAATTGTGGCATTTTAGTGATGGGGGAACAATGATTTACATTTAAAAGATGTTAAAAACACTACATAATTTATCAGTCGTAAAAATCGGAACATAGGGGCCAGCACTGTGGTGTAGTGGGTGAAGCTACAGCCTGCAGTGCCAGCATCCCACATGGGCGCCAGTTTGAGTCCCGGCTGTTCCATTTCCAATCCAGCTCTCTGCTATGGCCTGGGAAATCAGTAGAAGATGGCCCAGGTCCTTGGGTCCCTGCACCCATGTGGGGAACCTGGAGAAGGCCCCTGGCTCCTGGCTCCAGATAAGCTCAGCTATGGCCGTTGCAGCCTTCTTGGTAGTGAGCTGGTGGATGGAAAACCTCTCTCTCTCTGCCTCTCTTAACTCTGCCTTTCAAATAAAAAAATCTTTAAGAAAATAAAAAAGACTTCAGAAAAATAACTACTAAATTCCAAAATACAGATGAATAGACATAATATAGATATAAACCAAAATTTAATAAGGGGAAAAAAACCATAAAAAAAAATCAAAACACTTTGGACATTTTCTAAAGTACTCAGAAAAAAGGAATGAAGCCGGCAGTTTCACTTACTGGAGCTCTCCTTTAATTATCCAGTTTCCTGATAACATACTGTCCTTCCCCAGAAACGCCACATTTAATACAGCACCGTCCACACAGGGAAGCCACCAGAGACAGACACTGGGCCATAGCTTCAAGGGTATGGGAACACTCGGTGGGCAGGCAAGCCACAGGAAGAGATGCTCACTTCCCCTTCTGGAGGGAGTTCCAGTCCCGGCCGTGGTCGATTCCAGCTCCCTGCTACTACGCACCCTAGGGAGCAGCAGGACATGGCTCAGGTAGCTATGTCCCTGCCATCCATGTGGGAGACCTGGACTGAGTTCTTGGCTCCCACCTCCAGCATGACCCAGCCGAGGTAGCTGCAGGCACCTGGGGAGTAAACCAGCAGACTGGAGCGTGCTGTCTCTCTGTATGTGTATCTCTGTGTTTCTCTCTCAAATAAATATTTTTAATAAAGATTTTAGTTTTTAAACAAAAAGATCTAAGATCATAAATTAAGAAGGAAAAGCTTTAGGGTCGGCATTGTGGTGCAGAGGGTTAAAGCCTGGGCCTGCAGTGCCAGCATCTGACACGGGTGCCGATTCGAGTCCTGGCTGCTCCACTTCTGATCCAGCTCCCTGCTAATGTGTCTGCGAAAGCAGAGGATGATGGCTCAAGTCTTGGGGGCCCTGCACCCACATGGGAGGCCTGGAAGAAGCTCCTGGCTCCCAGCTTCGGATCAGTTCAGCTCCAGCTTTTGCGGTCATTTGGGGAGTGAACCAGCTGATGAAGACCTCTCTAACTCTTTCAAATAAATAAAATAAATCTTAAAAAGAAACACATCTCTCCATTAAAAAAGAAAAAGGGAAAGCTTTTGTAATCAATTTAAGAGTGATTGGCTCCATATTTTAAATTTCTTTACAGTACCTAACTTATATATAAGGGGATCTTCAAAAAGTTCATGGGGAATGCATGTTAAGAATAAATTATACATAGATTTCAAAAATCCTCTTGTTTTTCCACAACTTCTTAAATTCCACTTCTAACACACCACTATAAATATGTATTGAATGAGTCAGAACATATACAATCCTGCAGTTGATTTCTAAATACTCAACCTGTATGTTGCTGTTTTCATTCGCCCGGCGCCGGCCTTCTACCCGGCTAATGGTGATAGTCTGGCCAATAACATCGATTGCCCCAGGTAATCTCCTGCAACATACAAATACAAGAAATTCAGTTTCACCTAGTTAGAGGTTTTAAAAGTATTAAGTGACAAATAAAAACTAAAACCTTTTGTAATATATTCTCAACTAACATGAAGATCACAACATACTTTGCACTGTTACAAAACATCTTTTTCTAAGATTTATTTATTTGAAAGGCAGAGTTGGGGAGTGGGGAGAAAGAGAGAGAAAGGGAGAAAGAGAGAGAATCTTCCAACTGCTGATTCACTCCCCAAATGGCCACAGTAGCTAGGGTAGGGCCAAGCCAAAGCCAGGAGCTTGAACTTCATCCAAGTCTCCCACATGCGTGGCAAGGGCCCAGGGACTTAGGCCATCATCCCTTGCTTTCCCAGGTGCATTAGCAGGGAGCTGGATAGGAAGTGGAGCAGCCAAGAATTGAAGCAGTTCCCATTTGGGATGCCGGCACTGCAGATGGCAGTTTAACCCATTATACCACAACATGGGCCCTAAAACTGCTTTATTAGTATGCTAACATACCCAGAAACATCATAATGATAAAACTTTCATTGCTTGTATAGCTTCTTGATAGCCTCCACCTGAATTTATCTTTACAGAACTGAATTAGTCTACGTAGACAAATGAAAGTAAAATCTGTTAGCCACAACTGGAACACAAACCATAGTTCTATTAGGGGAAGTTTGAAAAGTGCCCACAAAAGCTTAAAAAGAAGTACTGCTCATTTTGAAATACACAGGATAGATTCCTTAATGATATATTCCAAGCATTAAAAAAAAAGGGGGAATTAATTCTCCATTTCTGATAACTTGTTTTTAGATAAAAAATTCAAGCAATTGAAACACCTGTTCTACCTCCAATTGTACACACAACCTCTTTAGAGTTTACATACAGGAAGACAGGGAAAAGTTAGTCTACTACAAAACAATGCTGCAAGTTTAACAGAGAAATATATTAAGTTAAATTTTTTAAAAATTAAAATAATGTCAAAAGCTATCTGTAGTTGAACAGAGAAGTGTATGCAAATTAGATTCATTTCTCTTTATCTTTCAGTTCTAAACAATTCTGCTTTTACTACTTTACAGAGGTAAAATAAATTACAGCTCTGAATTGTAACTATTTAAAATTGTTAGGTTTGTTTAATTTTATTTATTTATTTATTTGACAGATAGAGTTAGATAATGAGAGAGAGAGACACAGAGAGAAAGGTCTTCCTTCCGTTGGTTTACCTCCCAAATGGCCGCTACGGCCAAAGCTGTGCTGATCCGAAGCCAGGAGCCAGGTGCTTCCTCCTGGTCTCCCATGCAGGTGCAGGGCCCAAGCACTTGGGCCATCCTCCACTGCCCTCCTGGGCCACAGCAGAGAGCTGGCCTGGAAGAAGAGCAACCAGGACTAGAACCTGGTGCCCACATGGGATGCTGGCGCCACAGGTGGAGGATTAACCAAGTGAGCCACGGCACCGGCCCTAAAATTTATTTTTAATGAGTGAAGCTGAATATCTTTTAATTACTGTTCATAGACCTTACCTATTTTCCTGTAGCACTATGGTCTTTCCATTTATTTGATGAATTCTTTTTGTAGAGCTTTAATTTAAGCCTTTGACCATAACGCAGATTAAAAATGTTATCTCCAAAAAATAAATATTAAAAAACATGGAATCCTATAATCTTCCACAATCATTAAGTCAGGTTCCTAAAATGACTAACAGCAACAACTGCCATCTGTTGGGATGCCAACACGTTATACCTAAATCTCCCAGAAACCCCCAACATAAAAATCAATGTTACAAGCAAAGCCAGGTCCAGATGGAGTCACTGGCCTACCTGACAATTAAGTGGCAAAACTAACTTTGATGTCTGAGTTTTTCTGGTCCCAAAACCTACAAACTCCCTCCCTTTAAGCTACGCTTCTTTCCATTAAGATAAGTAATCTTTAAGGGATGTAAGACTTTTCTAGAGTGTTAGAAAGTCAGAGAAAGTTTTGTTTCAAGTGAATCTTCAAAGAATTCATGATTTTAGGGGGAGGGAGTATACGTGAGAGGCAGGGAGATACAGAATGAGGAAGGAAAGATAGCTCTCCTCCACTAGTTCACTCTCCAAATGCCTTTAATAGCCAGGCCAAAGCCAGGGGCTGGGAACTCAATCCAAGGTGACCACATAGGTGGCAGGGACCAAACCACTTGAGCCAACTCCACTGTCTCCCAAGGTCTGCATTAGCAGGAAGCTGCAGTCAGGTGCCAGAGCCAGGTATCAAACCCAGGCACTTCAATATGGAATGCTGCTATCTCAGGGAGGCCAAATGCCTGCCCCTTCTACAAGTAATTCTGTACAGAGCATGTGGAGAATCTTCTAGTACAGAGTTCTCATTTACCATCATTTCTTGTTCACTCAAGACTTTGCTTCTCCTAGCTGGGTCACTGACTGCCTAGGTCCCCTCACAATCCCAAAGATCAAGAGTCATTTCACTCCCATCCTTCAACCCAGGTTGGGGAAATACCTAACATCCACACATTAGAAAAATCCAAACACTTCTAAGATTATTAAAAAGAAACAATCCAAAACACCCTCCAATTTCTTCTCTAAAACCTGTTGATTGCAAAGCTGTATCCACCCCATCTTCTCATCAAAGTGAGTGCCGTATGCCTTCTGATACACATCTTGGATTCCAACTTCCTGCCAGACACAGGTGAGTATCCTGGGGCCAGGCTTTCCCTCACTACTCACTGTTACCCACACTGCGTGGTCAAATCTTGACTTACTCTTTTCTATTTCAAGCTACAGAATTCTCCCCCCTCCACTTTTTCTATAACCTCTCCTTCACTTATCTCTAAGGATTTGGGGCTTTGAAAAATTCTAGGACACATTAGCGTATTCATCTCTGAAAGTCTATCATAAATACGGTCAGAGAAGCCTAATTAGCCTCTTCAACTTTAAATGGATTAATCACTGAAAATGCAAAATGGCAAACATTGTGTTGCAAAGACATACAACTGAGAAATAATTAACAAATATATCCTGAGAAGGAAGGTCAGAAAATAATTTCCTACACTTTCATAATGTCTTGTGGCCCAGGAATTTTTTCCACAGGTTGATTTTTCTTAAATTCATATAAATGGGAAGTTAACCATTTTGTTTGGGAGCGTTTATGACATATCAGTATGTAGTAAAAAGATAGTAAAACGCAAGCAGCATTTAACACAGATGAACAACTTAAAAACTCCACGTCACTCTGGTGCCAGCTGGAATCTGTGCTTCCACTGAAGTCCTCCGTGAGCAGGCTGCTCCACTGCCTAACAAGATTCAGCAGTTTCCCTACGAGGAAATTACTATGACTTCCACTTCCACACAGCAAGGGTTAAGCAGGCCTATTCAACAGACAGCCCACGACACCACAGGATTCTCCTCTTTGTACTGAACTCAATCGCATAGTAACGCATAGTAACGAGCCAAGAGCCAGACACAAATCACACTGCATCTGTAAGTCAATCTGCAATCTACACTTTAAAGGGCACTGAGCAAGTGTTCACAAGAACTTCCACTTTCCTTCTTGGGACAGATGAACAAGACAAATCTTATTTGAAAACTCATCCGAAATTACAATGGAATTAACGTATGTCGTATTTTGCTACTGGTGTCCTAGAAAAGGTCTGAAGGTTGCTTGCAGAGATGCAACAGAAACGGCAACATGAGAGCTCAGAAGCAGGCAAGGCAGACAAAGAGTGAGCTGCTCGTTAGCAGTCAGACAAGGACACTGTTAACGATGAAGCCTTTGAACTGCATGAGACAAAGACAAACACCCGCCCTGAAGACGGCGTCTCCTCCTGTAATAACACAAGCTTGGCTTGGTGAGCATTCTTCAAAGCATTCTGTATTATGTTTACTCTTCATAATAACACAAGAGGTAGCAACAATTATTCCCACTTATGTTTCTCCTTTGAATCCACATTAAGAAAGTTTGATAGAGTGCAGTAGTTTTCAAACACTGTTGGCCAGAAAACACAGTAAAAACTACATTTTGCATAGTAATCCACTTCAGCTCTGTGCTAATGCACCTGGGAAAGCAGCAGAGGATGGCCCAAATGCTTAAGCTCCTGTACCCACATGGGAGACCCCTAAGAAGTGCCTGGCTCTTGGCTCCTGGATCTAGCATGGCCCAGACCTGGCTACTGTGGCCATTTGGGAAGCAAACCAGCAGACGGAAGCTCTCTGTGTCTCTCCCTAACTGATTCAAATACATAAATAAAAATCAGCAAATATATTCCATCAACCTCCTTATAACAGAAGCAGTGGTTACCAACCAAACACTTTCAAGGAGGCAGAGAATATAAATTAAATGAGAACCATAAAAGGGGGGGGGGGCTCTATAAGGCTATAAAAAGCTATGCAAGGGGCCAGTGCTACAGCACAATAGTAAAGCCTCCATCTGCAGTGCTAGCATCCCTTACGAGCACTGGTTCGAGTCTCCGCTGTCCCACTTCCAAGCCAGCTCTCTGCTATGGCCTGGGGAAGCAGTAGAAGATGGTCCAAGTCCTTGGGCCCCTGCACTCAAGTGGGAGACCCAGAAGAAGCTCCTGGTTTCTGGCTTCAGATCGGCCCAGCTCCAGACATGGTGGCCATTTGTAAATTGGGCCATTGCAGCCATCTCTGTAAATCTGCCATTGAAATAAATAAATCTTAAAAAAAAAAAAAAATCCTGATGCCCAGGGTGCACACCAGGTATTTAAATCAGCATCTTTCAGACTGAAGCACCAAAAAGTTTTTTGAAGCTTCCCAGTGACTCAAATACACAGCCAACTAAAACTACTAAAAAAAATACAGCAGCTGTATATGTAGAAAGAATAAGTATAATAAGAATACAGTAGCTGATAAAAATTCAACTTAATTCTTTATTAACTAATAAATACATACAAAATTATTTCTATCAAACTGTCAATTATATTATGTTAAGGATATAATTTTAATACAAATCATTTTTTGTGGACTTACATGGTAATGTTTCCACAGCCACATT